CCTTCAATATAAAGCACATCTTTGAATGTAACAGAGATTAAAGAGCTGTTGTCGACCGACATTGCCTAACTGAAATAAGATGTGTTGTTTTGATCACCTAACTAAGGCCACGTCACTTCAACCAATCAGCCGTTGTATAGCCGATGCGAGTTGGTTGGCGTGGAGAGTAAAACACGATATGCTGTGAGATGAATTCAGGTAGTGATTCGCGAATGTTCAAATTAGCTGAGTTTTCAAGCATTGATGCACTGTAATAATCGTGCAACTTGCTTGTCAGATGAGCTTTCTCGGAATGCCAGTGTGCCGCACTCAGCACGCTTTCTCTTAGCTCCGGCTTATGACCGAACACACTATCTCGCAGCGGCTTTTGGATGCGGCCCGGTACGCATACTGGTTGTGAATAAAGTTTGGTTTAAATTCGTCGGGCATGTGGGAGTCTTCAGAGCATAGGTGGAAAAAGTCGGGATCTTCTGCTCAACGTGCTTAAATGTCTTTGACGTGTATGCCACTTCCATCATCTTCAGGAGTGGTGAGGAATCTGTTGGGGTATCAGAAGTTTGCAAAAGTGCATACTAAATTGTATCGTGAACTGTGAAAATGCCGAAAAAGCAACGTTGTGCATGATGAATTCTGATAGCTGTCCTTGTGTTCCTGCTACGGCGGTCGCCATTACAGCGAAATAATTGCATTTTCAGCTGTACATAGGTTGGTGCAGGTTTGTCGGTTGTGTTAACAACGTTGTAGCGCCCAACGTATCGGATTTGTTAGCGGTCTGTGGGAGACACGGAGTGGGAATCGAACGGAGGGCAACCACACGGCATGCGAGGTCCCATGCACATGTGGTGCAAATGCAACGGATGAGGTTGGCAACGAATTTCTGCCGGTTAAATAAGCCAAACGAATCAAGGCCGCAACATTGGTTTAGGAAAAACTGTGACCTAGCAATCATTGTTGCTGTCTTGATATGCTGGGTCCATCTCTTTAAAATATAATAAGGCTAAGCGTCGATCCAACTCCATACTACAGCCTATGTGTGCACATAAAGGTGCAGTTGTTGCTTTCGGTATTATGTTAGCTTGTGTTTCTTGCATTTAGGCAGATACAGGAAATGAACAGTGCCATTCTATTTTCAAACAGTCGAAGCATTCACATTAGGCTACGGCAGCAAACAGAGAAAATGTCGTCACCAAAGAGACTCAGGGAGTGGATGGTTGGATAGCATGATGGTGGACGGGATACTGAGAAGTCAATTCTTGCGAAATAAGTTGTACTGAATGAAGTATTGGATGTGTACTGTCACTTCTTCAAACACACTTTAACTGCTATGCAACGGAGCGATTTGGGAAATAATGTGCCCAAAATCGACATTCGTTCGGCGGAAATCAAACTTCCATTGTCATAAGTCATACCGGCAACAACAGATGATAGGCTATACATTCTACCATCGAGTGAACCGTTAGAACAGCCTAGATTGAAAAAATCCACAGATAGATTATGACGTTAAGGAACTGCTCGTTACTCGTAAGTAGATGAATGACCCACGTGTTGTTGGGCTCGTTTTCTTCTCGTGGGCAGAAGTACACATCCATACTCGCACAGGAGACTTGCGAATGGTTTTGCTCACAGTATGAGGATTTTGGGTAACTTCTGACCGCCCGCTTCATATGCGGGAGTAAGTTGACCATGGCCCCCGCAATGGACGCGGAAACAGAGCCAACGCGCCAATAAAAGCGTACTAATCGTAGTAAATGTGAGAACATCAAAAACAGTAGGCATAAGTATTTTATGTATACATATTCCCCCAGGCTAAGGAAATTAACTATATTTGTTTATTTATTGAAATCCAAAGTGTATGCCGGACTCTTAATGTACAATTATTCTCACGTAATCTGACGCTGAATTTAGAGAATCTGCAAAGTCCCGGGTGCGGAGGCAAAATGTAGTGCACAATTTGTTCGCATCGCCCCACCATTAGCATACATTAAGTAAAACCAATATTCGACCAACTAGGAATAGTTTATCAAGAAGTGTAGAAGTCGGAACAAGCAAAATCATCGACAAATATTTGTTTTTGATTATTTCAACATCAGGTCGTCAAAATAATATACACTAAGTTGGAATAGGTTAGATTATGGTATAGCAGAAAAATTGGTTAAACCATTCATATTGTTTACCGATATTAGTCGGTTGATTAGGTCACGGATGTCATTTGAGGGTAGCGATGTGATCCCCTCCATTGGTAAGTGGCTCGCCAAGGCTACTGTAGCAAAGGAACCATCTACTTTTGGTTGAATCATTCCTGAATAATCAGCCGCATGCGTACCGTCTCCGCAGAAGCAAGCAGCAGATAACTAATCCTGTGCGTTCGGTGTGAAAGCACTTTGTACATGAATAAGAAAGCCGTTTCATGGCCCTGATAATCACCGCATTCAAGGACATCATCAACAGCAGTGCATCACTCATTCGAACTGATGCTCCGCTGCCATAGTAACGTGATGAC